ATAGATAGCATCAGCTAATAGAAAATATTATGAACTTGAGCGTTCCACTCGGTAACTACTTTTAAATTACCTATCTCTACCAGGCGATTGACCCGTTCTCAACCTGTCACTGATTTGTTTCTCCAGATATCTGTCTGGACGAGGTGGACAAACTGCTTTCGCCCACATCGTGCATCACCTCACCAGTTGGTGATGCCGTAACTTCGGTAATCGGATCCGCAAGTACACGTGCTTCCCAAAGACTTTGTTTACGCAAAACCAATTGTCATTATACTGAAGTAACCTGTCCATCCAACTCGGACCGAACGATGGAGCAGCCATCGGGACCGGACGATTCTGACTCAATCGAATTCCAGTCACGTATCCCGGACTCATCTAAACGCATTCCGAACGAGCTGGCCGATTCCGATAGTACACTGACTTGTTCCGAAGCGGAATACTATAGCAACTGGATCCAGTTGCACGGAACGAGAACTCGTAGAAAACGGGTACGGCCGTCACGTTTACGGCGTCGAGAGCGTTGGGAAACAGAAACCGAGGGCGATACCGATACCGATTCAGGGACAGATGAACCTCGTGAATGGAATCCGCAGCTGTTGAAGCGTTTGTCCACGACGGGGACACGTCGAAGTGCTGTCCCACACATGCACCGGAGGCAGTCCAAATCCACTTCGGATGAAGATTTGAAACCATGGTGGCCAAAAACAAACACTCCCTTTTGGACTGGTTGTGGTATCAGTGTTGATATTCCGGATTCGGTAGATGAAGTGAGTTCCTCCGATGGCAGACCTTCGTTGATTGGAGTGGAAGATGATCAACTGATGTGTTGCACGTCCGATCCCGATGGAACACCTCGATCAAACGACTCTGGTTGTTCGTGTAGTATGAATTCCTCACCCAGAACTGGGACTTCGAAAGTCCCCGGAACATCGATAAGCTCTCTGACACACAACTACAATCAAACCAACCATAATACCACTAATAACGCAGGTGGTAATACCTCCAGCAATTATCATCACAAATTCAAATCTAAATCTTCTGCTCATTCCATGTCTGACCGACTTGGAGTCGATGCCAAGTGTCATCAACCGATTTGGCGAGCCCGCCGACGACGGAAGCAATTGGAACTGTGGCAATTTATTTTGTGCAAATTGGAAACAAGCAAACAGTCCGCATTTCGGTGGGTGAATCGATCGGCAGGAGTATTTTGCATCACAGACACTATAGCTGGAGCGCGTGAATGGGGGCGATATCGAAATAACAGTCGAATGGATTATGAGAAAATGGCTAGAGCTATGAGGTAAGCACAGTCGGGTGGGACGGATTTCGGCTTTTATGTCACTGAACCTGCTGTAATTAATAATAATCATTATTTTTTAACAAGTATTAGCCAAGACATTTTTTGTTCAGTAGAGAGATTTTTAAAACTAATCACAAATTACTCAAGCGGCCATGGATTCTTGAATGCCGCTCTTATAAAATTTTCCACACGTAATTAAACTTTTGTGAAAGAGTGAAAAAGCAGGTAGTGCTTAAACTTTAAAAAATACATAAATAAATAGACTCGCTGTATAGTATTCACTTGCCAGTGTAATGTATATATTTAGTTCATTTTTTTGATGTTTCAGACACCATTGGGCCTTTCAGTCACATGTTCTTATCAGCCAGAGGCATCGGTTTTAACCTTTGATAGGTAAACTTTAGTTTTTCGATTGATTGCTTGCCTACTCATTAGTAGGTGAATTCAACAAGTAAAATAATAGATTTTGTGTGGAACGGCAAATGGCCTTATGCATTTCGGAATGACGAAAATCACGTCACTAACACACTACTCCGTATTAATTTAACACTTTATTCGGAATTAGGCTTAAATTTTTACTATTCGGAATGTATGAAATCTTTAAAAGCAATCATTAATTTTACAAATCGTGTTGATGCAATCAACGAAACGGAAAAGTTGTTTAACAAAATTTATTGTAACTCATCCATCCGGACCAGTTTAGATGAGTCAAACTGGCTTGTCCGATCCAATTATTCTACTGTGTACTGTGATAACCTGATGAAAATCATTCACTGAAATTCCTTCGTTGTATTGCAAAATAATACGTGATAAATAGGTCAGCTGTCGTTTTCACGGTGGCGCTCATCATTGTATTTTTCCAAACTGAGGGAAACCATTGATATTTCACTACCGGTGCCCTTTAGTCAGGTTTCATTTTTCTATTCAACTGTTGAAAACTTAACCCCTTTTTGAAATCCGTTTACAAGTTATCTTCACTAGTTTTCTTATGTATGATTTTCATCCTCACTTCCTTTGGATTAAACTAATTGCAAATTCACCTTATCCTCTGTTCCGGGGAGACTTACCGTGGTTATGAAATCTAATCAATCCAAAGTTTCGAATGTTTATTACCTAGAACTAGCTAATGCTTCTGGTGAATAATTAGTGTTTTCCAGTTCAGGAAGCCAATCCGGAATGTTGGGTTTGGTTTTATTCTACGGCAAACTTTGAGGTTTCGAGGTTGTAAGTGATCAGCTACGCGAATTTCCGACTTGGTTTAATTTGTAATTGAATATATTGGATCTCTGTCTATGTACCTTCATGCTAAGCAACTTCTCCATTGAATCAATGGAAGAAACTTAACAACTCTATTAAATTCAAGAATGCTGTGCCAAATCATTTAAAATTGGCATACAAAACGTTTAGTTATTATTAAAGCCATGGGATTAACCATAACTTCAAGTGTATTTCAGAGCACAACTTCGACAAATCATTGAAATGCTTATGTGACTTTTCGGGCGGTAGACAGGTAAAAGCATCAGAGAAATGAACATTACGGCTGACTTTCCGTAGTTTTACTTGAATGACTGGACAAAGTTTTCCGGATGCGCAAAACGGGCTAAGTTTTCTCCACAGGTATGCGAAACACTGTGTTTCTCTTGCGAACAAAGTTTACAATCTTTGAACAAAAGTATAAGTTACTCGTCAATGTGCGCGTTCGAGTCGTGGATTTAGTTATTCATCTATTGACAAGAAGACTGCCTATAGTTGATATATTGCACCCATCCATAGATTGGTGATGACGCATTTGTGATTAGCGTCATTAACAAAAAGGCATCATATGTACAACATGACGTCTTGATATGATGCTTGATATGCGATGAGTCTGGCGAGTTTTCTCTTCAGATTGTTGATATGCTACCAGTTGTATCGCTGTTCTTTGTGGACAAGCGGCGAATACCATCACTAAATAGGAACGGTTCATCCTGCAAGGATGGAATAAAAAATAGATTTATGAAAACATTTTCTCGGTCGATTCAAGTCCAGCCACGTGATGGATAGCAAATTGATATCCGTTCTCAAATGATTAGATACTAATCCCATTGTTTATCTAGATTTCCACCGTAATCATGGAGAAATGATCTAAACTGCAAGTGGATTATTTCCCATGTTCGCGTTTGACTACTCATTAGTAGGGACTACATTTTCTTGAATAATAGCGTGCTCGACAGTTGATGGGAGATTATTTGAAAATGAAGGTTCAATTAAAACTTCTCTAGATGCAATTTGAGCGATTGAAATTAGTTCAAGTATATAAATGCAACCTAACTATTTTTCATTCCGCCTAGCGTGCATCATTTCTGAATTTAAGCTGTATTCTTTCTAATAACTTGTGCATGCCATTATGCCTAAATGTAGTCAAAATTGTTCACCAATTCAATGGGATAAAAAAAATGCAAAAGACAACTCTCATAAAGTAACATCTGTGTAGATAAAAATTCAATTAATTTAGAACTATCTTCTTGTCAGTTGAAATGCCAGCCAAATAGGACACTGTTGAATTGAGATAAATGTTCATGGGGGATGATAAGAAGGGTGAGCTGAATTGTTTTATAGTGTGGGAACAGCAGTCTGATAAGCCGGAATTGAGCGGGTGACTGGGGTCTCTAAATATATTGTAGACGTAATTTTCATAAGAATTATTACAAAAATCACACAGGCTTTTGATCTAGATGCAATCACGTGGATAAACGGTAGATCCGAGAACACTCACTCTCGTACCAGACTGCTTGAAAATAATTCCATGTTACATTGATTTGAGAAAGTTTGACTTATTTATGAACCCCTAGTCCCCCCTTTTTCTTTGAATTATCTCCAACACTCCTTCTTGTATCATTGGAATATTACGGTATAACCTTTCGGCTTTTACACTCCATCTGTTGTCTCAACATTTCCCTCTGGCTGCCAAAACCAGCATTACAAGTCTGCAGGTTGAAATGGTATCCGTAAATTTCTGATATTCGATCCCTGACATGATTGCGTTAATCTCCCGAACCGTCTACTTCCGTCGTGAATGGTCTACAGACTAGTCTCCAGGACATGCACGTGTTTATTTCTCAGTTTTCTAAGCCAAAGAATGAACATTCATCTCAATGGTTGTCAAATGCTTGTTTCCTCGCAGTCAGACCCGAAAATAAAACTTTTCAACGTTGACCTTTGTCCATAAATTCATCTTCTCAAAGCTGCTATGTGCAAGCCCGAATGACTTACTCGGTGATAATCCACAAAGCGAAATGTAATTAAGCTCTTCATCTGTCCTCCCTGTAGTCGCTCGTTCTGGTCTCTCGTCAAAGCGATTTCGCATGCTTTCATCCTTTCGCTCAAGTGAGAACACTTGTGGCTACCTGGTCCCCGATTTCTCACAAAATCCGAGGTATTTTCCCCGCGTTGTGTCCCATTCAATCTTTTTCTCATCTACCACTCTTTTTTCTTCCTCATGATCTCACATTTATTGCCAAAAGTTACTACCATGACTAATCGCCTACCACGAAATTCGCTTGAATGCATTCGGGCTACCCTACATCACGGATTTTGCCCTGCGAAGCTTGCCGATCCCTTTTGCAAAACTTTTTATTTATGAGCTCCTCCGCGAATTCCATCATAAAAATAATAATTCTTTGTTTTATCGTTGTTTTATTCTGTTCGTAGTTTCTTCTTGCAACAAATTCCGTGCACTGATTCCATTTTACTATTTAACTTGCGTTTGTTTTCTTATCATATTTGAAAAGCAGTCGAAGTTTAAAGGTCTATTGTTAATCAGACAAGCATTTCACTTTCTCACTGTGGACCATACAGAGAAAATAAAAGCAGCCTTTCCAGAAATGTGTAAAACGGTCTGCATAGAAACACACATACGCACACAACACAAACACACATATACAGTGGGTTGAGTTTCCTCCAGGTGCGGTGTATCCCATTTATAGGACAATTAGAACTTAGTTTGAGTCAGTCCGACAGGCGTCAGTGACTGTACTCACTCTCAGTCAGGTTTAACTTCCTCAGACTCAAATCTGGTGTTACGTTTTGTTATTATTATTATTATTATTATTGTTATTGTTGTCAGTACCATGTCTGGCATGATACTTTTATTAGCATATTTAACCTTACTCGTTTATGAATTCCATATCCTGGATTCCGGTGATTCGAATAACGTTTGGTACACAAATTGAATCTGATCAACTCTATCAAGTTGTATTATTTTTTTGGTTTGCAATCTTCATTTATCACCACATCACTTGCACCCCTTTTGTTCGCTGCGCAGATTCTACTACAAAGACTCTATTTTACGCAAATCCAGACAACAACTCCACTTTCAGTTTGCCATGTCCTACGTGGAATGGGCCTCACGATTCTATCATTCCGCTTGATCGGAAACTCATCAATGGATCCATCTGCGTGGTAAACACCAAACAGGATTCGGCAAATGGATAAACCAACCAAGCGGTTGAACGATAACTCAATATGGAGCCTAAACAGCCCAGTGCAAGGTCATCGATACCGTCTCTGATCACTTTTTGCGCAAGGGTCAAAACCAAGCGGCTTCTGCTCCGTGGTCTACTCTCCTAGGCACAATCCATAGTATTGTTTGTAAAGTGTACATACTCTCACCCAACAAGGTCCCCCTCCTTATGTGAAATGACCCCTCTTGATGCTCAATCAACCCATAATCTAACAGCTATTCTCAATTTTCATGTCAAATGACCCAAAACTTTGGTGTGTGTCAGCCGTATGCCTTACTTCTGGTACCCCTTCTTAGCCCATGTACCTCCTACTCCTTTCACCGTTTCCCATTCAACCATTCGGCTTGTGGATTTCACATGAGTCACGCTTCATTTACATGTCTGTCTGTCTGTCTGTCTGTCTGTCTGTCTGTCTAGCTGACTGACCGACTGGCTGCTTTTTTATCTGCTTGTCTGCTTCTTGTGCCGACCATCAATGTCTTTCCAAATGCAAACCGATTTGAATCGCTGTGCCTGATTCCGACGGCGCCAGCACTACCGCACATGCATACATATCAACACATACACACATATATGCATAAATATTTACTTTTTGGTGTCTTGAGTTGAGGCTCGTGCTGTATAAAAAGTAGAATATCTCCGGGATTTGAGACTAATCTTTATTTTCACATACCTTTTACAAAGTGGGTGGCTGGTTTGGAATTTGAACCACCTAGCACATTATTGATTACCGATAAATATTTCCACTGCATAGTTCAAAAAATATTTTCGGGGGAAAAAACATCGTGAGGTTAGGGTAATCTAATCACTTCCTGCGTTGTTTCAGATGTCCTGAACTGGAATTACTTTTATGACATATTGGATATATTGTCAAGTCACAGAGGGCTATCGCAACCTCATTGATCTCAACGATCCTAAAACATTGTTACTCCTTAGGGAAATTTACATATGTGTGGCCATATCAAAGTGTTGATTGCCAACAGAGACGTGGTCTCCAGAAGCAGGTTGTCCGAAATGATCATCGAGTAACACGAGTTATCGCCATGCAAGCGGACGAAAATCAGTCCGCCGCAAGTTGAACTATGGACAAATCACAATAACGGATAGGATGACAACAATTTCTGAAGTCATATTACTATTAGCCATACAAATGTAAGCAAACATATGTTTTCGGTGAAATCTTTTTCAAGCCTTTACAATCCCCTTTATATGAAATTATTTCCATGAGGTAAAACGGAAAGCTGAATGAGTTATATGTTTGGTAATGAGCCTGAGAGAACTCCAAATTAGTACGGTGTTTGCATTACTTAACCAAAATTCACTACGTTACGTCATGTTCATGTGAACAGGTGGTTTTATCTTCTCTTTTCTAGTGGAGTTTGAGAGCTTGGATCAGTTTTGATTGTGCGCAAGCTTCATGATTTAGATACTAATGGTCTCTGCGGTCACCAATGTCCGAAACCGTGTTGCTCTCAAGGGATGTGGTGAGATTCGATAAATGATTGTAAATGCCGAGCGCATGTTAAGCAAGTGTTCCATCTTTACCAGGTGGAGCTTGACACAACTCCTGTCTCACCCTGTGTGAACCAGCGTGGATTGTGTTTTTTGATACATCAGGATAACTGTCATGTCGTTCGACCTATATAAGTCGCACCGCGGATGCACTTGAGTTGATGGACAATCGTAGATCAGGTCAATATGGGCCACTTATGTTTATCGTAGCCTAGGATGTTTGGTGACGTAGAGAACATGCATCTTTACTGTTCAAAGTTAAATGTGAATTTCACTGCTGCGGATAAACATCTGCTGACTCTGTCGGCGGCAACATCACCTTTGACTGAAAAGTTTATAAAGAGCGTTCTCATCTCCTTTTTTAGTACGTTTGTTGGCTTATTCTGTTCAGTCCAATCACGGTGAAAAACACCTCTATAACAAAGTTGACCTAAAATGTGATCCAAAAGGTTCACACAGAAAGATGAAAAGCAAATTACTGATACGTTAAGATGGCTTAGAGATCAAGGCTACATATCATCCTGTCTCTTGAAGGGTCTCAAACCCGTTAGCTCTAACGTGCCCGCTCACATGGCCTACCCAAAATACACAAATCTGGTATACGAATGCGTCCCATTATCTCTATGACAAATTCACACCACCACGCAACTGCCCGTTGCCTAGCTAGACTTTGGAACCACGCATACACTCAAAGACACCTTTTAGATTGTTAAAATAACCACAAATGTGAATGTTAACAACAGGCTGATGTCCTCTTTGCATATTATCTCTCTTTACACATTTTCTCCTGTTAGAAACAGTTTTTTCATTTATGAATTTATCAATACATAAATGATATTTGTGTGTATCCCAGTCACAACTCGCAAAAAAATCATGATCAAATGTACACGAGATGTGCAATTTTTTGTCTAATAACACATTCACCAAATCGACGGTGTTAATATGACTTCACCCCTTGAACCTGCAGTTGATGACATCTTCATGACCAGATTAGAAATAACTTCTTTATCTACGGTTATTAGTTGTTTTTAACATTATCACCGTTATGAAGATGATATCTTTTGCGTGGCTAACAATAACACTATTTTTGTCTATTTTGAATCAAAATTCAATGCAGCACATTCGTCAATTAATTTCACAACGGAACCAAAGGAGACTGATTGCCTTCCGCTTTTGGATGTTCATCTATGTAGACATCCCGATGGCTCCATCCAAAGGACTATATATTGAAAAGCAACATGAAGTGGACAGTACATAATTTTTTACAGCGTCGTTCCGCTCTATCAAAAATGCAATCTCGTAAGCTTTCTCTTACGGAGAGCAAGGTGCATCTCTTCAGAAGATACTATAAAGGATGAAACTGAACTAGTGAGGAGAACCTTACTGGGAATTGGCTATCCTGAGAAGGTTATCAACCGTAATTGAACTTAACAGAATGAGCCAACAAACATATTAGCTGTTTTTGTTTCAATTGGGTGAGAAAGTACCTCCATCGTCTAAAGCTAGTGAACTGAGATTCCTCAGCGGAGCCTACCTAGGACATTCGGTGGAAGGGAAGGTGAACTGGTCGGAACCTAACACCCCATCTCCGATCTCCTTGAAACTTTCCGAGGCTGAGTCAGTCATCTATCATAAGACAAAGCATTTTAGCTAGACGATCGAAACATGTGCTGAAATAATACAATAATTCGATCGCTACTGTTGTTATGAGGTACTACTCATACTTTTGGGTAGCTTGCACATACACCAAGAAGCGGTTTCTGGATTTCCACTGCATCTGCGAGCAGAATAAGGGATTTACGTTTGCAAATATAGAAGAGTAAATCATGAAAATGCTAGCCATTTGTTGCTAATGAGATGTTTCTTTCTATGNTTTCTATGTAACTTTATTCACCCCTATCCGATGCTGTCATCCGAATAAATAACTCTCCTCGTCCCGGCACTGCCTTGTGGATATACCACATCATCTAGTTACGACAGGACAGCGGTGATTGATAGATAAATATATTACCGTCGAAGATATGACGAGCCGTTTGAGCTCCTCACCCGAAAATTCACCGCATTTAAGTAGATTTGCACCAAAACTGACTTCGATTGGAATTCAACGGGTTTACAGTCATAGCTTGACCCTGTAAAATTCATAAGCACGTTGCACTGGTCTCTTGGTTTTATGGATTTGGGTTCGCATGTTTGTGAATTGTTTTGAACCGCCCGATCAGACTGCATTTATTAGTGCAAATGGACTTATTTTGAGAAAGAACCAGTCCCAACAAATCAATCGTGCAAGAAGAATATACTTTAGTGGTTTCTGTTGGATTAATCAACTTTCGAAAACCAAACTAGAATTGAGGGAAGAGATAGAAGCAAAAGCAAAATAGCCGAATTGAGAGATGAAAAAATGTTGACAATCGGTGCGATATATTTGTGTGCATGTGCTAGTGAGCAAAGGAGGGTTGACAAAAGAGGGATTACATAACCACAATCTAAATGGCTATACGTGGAAGGCCCATTGATCTTGCAAACTCTTTCTTGGTGAGCGAGAGTCGGCCCGAGAGAAGGATCGCCATAGCCTTGACCACTGTGTGATAGAACTCAGTCTCATTTTTGGTCACAACGGAGTTTACCAATGCTTCAGTGAGCCAGCTGGAGTGATGTATCTTTGTGTGATAAGACAAACGTCTCACAATTTATTCTACACCGCCTGCTTCACCATAGCAGTCAAACGAATCAAGCTGAAATAGTCGCATCCGTCAATAATTTACGTTTTGCAACAGTCTTTGATCGGAATACATTCGATCAGAGAAACGGAAATCGCGTCAGATAGGTCAATTTATTTCAGGTAATAATTCTGGACATGCTGAAATTGCAGGACGAATAACTCCTCAATCAGAGGAAAATTCTGTTCTTGAGCGTCGAGAAAAAAGAATGGCCTGGAGAACAATCTTGTTTTGATAGATTCTTCATGGGCTAGTATAATTGTGTGTATATGTATCCTCGATGATTGTGACGTATGATTGGAAGAAGTTTCAGAACGGGTGTGTTCAGATCACTGTTCAAAGAAGCACTCCGTGTTTGGATTGCAGGATTTTGAAACAGGTTATGTCTTTCTCGTAAGCTGGTGTCAGAATGAGGTTAATTCAACAAAAAACAAAGCAATATAATCAATATCTGAGCGGTTATTGTGAAACCCCATTGACGAATGCCTTCAAAGAATTAGGAGCTATCCTGTAAATTAACTGAAAATTGCCATATCTTATCGGGCGTTCGGTGTCCACAAGGTACTCCACACATCCACTTGAGATGGTTTTGTATGTCCGTGTTAACGCAACGTGATTTGTTTTTGGTAACTGTCTGATCGTTTTGCTTTCACATGTGATCGAATTCAGTTAATGAAT